GATTTCTGGTTTAACAAATAAGCCTCTGACTGTGCCGAATGTATGACACCCCCCCACACACACACATTAATTTGCACAGTATAACGAGCATGTTTAGCAAGGTGCTCGGTTGCTTCATTATCCCTAGCAAACGCAAGACAAGTTCTTGCGTTAATAATGGACGGTATGTTTCTTGCCATGGATCACCAAACTTTCCGAGCATCGACAACTTTTTTAACTTATCGCAATGCTATTTACTTTCCAAGTGAAGTGTAAACACCTGCTGTGCACCTTGCTGAGTGCGGTGTTTCTTGTAAATTAAAGTAGCAGGATCTGGTCGTCTGTCGACGGCAAAGCCAAAAACGTACATTTCAACAACTTATTCTTCAAAGAGGAAATTTGATCTCCGTTTCAAATAACCATGGATGTCATTCTTGGATTATTACTATTATTTTTAATTCAAGCTACGCAAACCTGCGTTAAATGGATAACTCGAAGCTAACCCTTTTACGAACGTGCCTTAATGCCATTTCCAATAATAATAATAATAATAATAATAATAATAATAATAATAATAATAATAAGTTTAGTGATCACAAAAATGTTTTACATTTAGATTTATGCCATTTTCAATGTGCACAGTCATGCTGATTATTCATGGACTTAAGCTGTCAGTAATCTCTCAAATTCATGGTGAACGGCACAGATAAAATCTTAATCTCAACAGGACGCGATCATCCGATTTTTTTTTTTTTTTTTTTTTTTTTTTTGATTTTAGCATCACACATCTTGTTTACAGTATGTTGCACATATTGAAAATAACGTTATCATAGGGTCCTATTAACAGGGCACGCACGGCACAAATTTGCATCGATTCTTTTCAGTCAAATAATGAAGACAACGCATGATTAGGCACTTAAAAGTTGAGATTGCGCAAGTCAGCGCCACAACATGAAAACAGGTGGAGAACCAACAATGGAAATTCCTCGTAAAATCGAACGAAAGTTGAAGAAACAAAATGTGATAGATCCACGTGTATATATATATATATATATATATATATATATATATATATATATATATATATATATATATATATATATATATAAAACAATAGACTTAATAAATATGACTATAATATATCGAGAGTCACATTTTGACACAGGATATCTACTGTATCTCTCCCCCATCCCTCCCCAGGAAAAATGGGATGCACACATGATGTTTTTGACTCTATATGTTAAGAGTTAAAGTATTCAACCAATGAGCACCTTTGTCATTTTGAACCCGTGGCTATCATGGATCATTTCCATATTCAAGCAGATGGCAGAATCTGACTTCTAAAATTTAAACTTACTCATCTGCTTCTATATGCCCTTTTGTCATTTAATGATAAGATCTACCCATTATATTCATAAATGAGTCTAAGTTTTTGGTAAATAATTATCTTTAACAATACATTCTTCTAACGCTTTTTGGGCATGCGTTCAAATTCATTAAGAATCCACTAGCTCTCTCCAATACACATTGCAATTTATGGCATAGCCAGAAGCCAACTCTCCAACATAGAATGCAACAATTCAATCAACGCGACAAAACATTCTGACCGGTCATTTGACTTTGGGGAATATTCGAGTGCAAATCTTGCGATAGATACTTGCATAGTTATCAAAACCACAAACGACTCTTCTCCAATTCAAATTATGTAGATGTAACGCATAAAAAGATTCCATGACAGACAAGGGACTTACTTAAAGAAGCAACTAACCAGCCACAAAAGGCGTCAAGTTGGTTCTGATGGATCAGGAGCTACAAGAAGGCCTCCCTTAGCAAAATATCACGCCTGTCGCAAATTCCTGCGATTCCTTCTTGCAGATTTGTAACAAATTTATTGAAACATGGCTGCATATTATATTAGCAGTAATAAAATTTTCCTTGCAAACTCCTGCAAACTCGTTGCTGCAACCTTTTAAAATTAAATTTAATAACAATAATGCCACAATATTGCTGCAAAATTTTCATTTTGCTATTTTATAACTTTTGAGAAAAAAAGGTTAATATGAATCTTCTGCAATTCAATAATATATTTATTGATAATAATAATAATTTATTCAGCTTTGAATGTTACAATTTAACAATGTTCGCTGTCTAGGCTACTACAGAATCTACCATATTGTGCTTACAGAAAAAGACAGTGCTACTTCATTGTGCTGCTAACTGTATATACTGTGATATTGCTTTAAGTATTTATTGTGAATAACACCTTATTCTATCGGAAGCAAATGTTTCGTGCAACCACATAAGTGCTCCATTTCGATGAGATAACACTGTACCTAAAGACTAATTCCCCAATCAAGGCACACGCACGTCTGTAAGACATCGTCTAAATCAGCGGGTGGCATTTGGAATTATGTAAGGCACATTATCGTTTGTCTGGTCCCTTGATTTCTTATTTAAAGCAACTGTGTGATTTAGCAAGACGTTTTGAATAAGCAAAGATTACTTGCGATATTCAATGATAAAAAATTATTAGGTAACAAAAGCATAAAATCCTATAGGTCTATGCTAGCAAACTCTGTTGGAGGGAGAAGGGAGGCAGGGGCGGATCTAGGATGATTTGGAGGGGGGTCCGCGGATGCAAAGCCGACCCCCCCTCTTAACATTGGCGTGGGTCTCGAGGCCTGCTGAAGGGTCCCGAAATTTTTTGGTATTTTAGGGGGTGCACGGTGCCATTCAGTCAAAATTCTAATTTCAAGAGGGGACCATAGTGTGATTTTTTTTCAGAAATCGAAGGGGGGGTTCAGGACCCCCCTGACACCCCCACTAAATCCGCCACTGGGGAGGGGGCAGAGATATGGGCTCTACCTCATCTATGCCCTAGATTTGTACAGTGTAGAGTACATCACTTATTTAATATTTCTTGTTACGTTAGACACCCAATAAACAAATCAAGTTTTGAGGTCGATAATACCAATCACATAAACGCGCGGAAGCGATCTTCAACCAGTCTATAAACTTAAGCCCCTTTAATGAGGTCCAATCTTTCCGCAAATTTGGAGACAGATGTGCAAGATCTGATGAATGATGAGCTGAGGAATGCATATATTCTGGAAAATACGCTGTTAAAGTCAACGACAAACCGATACATATTTTCATTGCAATGAGCTGGAGGAACTGAATGGACACGTCATTTGGGCTTTTACCTCGGGGTATTCAATTTCCAGAATTTGATTCACATATATTCTTAATTCTTATTCTTCTGGTTGACCAAGATATTGCACTCATTTGAGGAATGCTTTGCCAGTCGAATTGAACTGTATTTTGGGGGTTTGCACCGACATTTTCTCAAGTAATTTGATATTTCTTGGTTACAAAATGAACTTATCTATTGGTATACCATATAACATTATCATATAAGAATAAACAGTTCTTTGAACTGAAGCTGTCTACTGTCCCTTTAGTATAACCCTGCCTCCAGGAAAATGGGTCGATCAAAACCCCAGTTGCAAGCTGCCTACACTATTCTCCTGTTCATTACGTATTCTTCCTTGAAAGAACCGACTCCGTTTCTTTCTCGGAAGATGATCGCAAGGGGATAAATTCCCATTCCGCCTCACAGATGATACTGCATGCAGAGGATAGAATGGTTCGTATTATCCACCATGGTACCCACCCGTAAAGATTTTTTTAATTTACCAACATAGGATGCTACTGTACATATCTCAACACAATTTATGACAAAATTGCCGGGTAAGCTCTCTCATCCTTAAATCTAATGAGTATCATGCCACAACACAATCTTCTGGTTTGTCTATTTGAGGAAAAAGAAACATTTTGCATCTGGTTCCTTTGTATGGAATTCATGATGGGGGTTTTCTTCCTTTTATATAACTTGAGAAAATCTAACCTTAATTCCAACCCACTGCGGTCCACCGATACTAATAAGGCAATTTGGCGATCTTGAAACAAAATAAAACCAAAAAAAAAAAAAAAAAAAAAAAAAAAAAAAACAACCGAAATATAGTTTAGCAATGGTTTACATTTTTTTTTTCTTTGCGACAACTTGAGCTCACGAATCCGAATAATATACTTTAATACAATATATCTCTCCCACATTTTAATAAATGCCTTTGTATACCATGATCAAACCCATGTCCTTAATCACAACGGAAAAAGGTTGGCTACTGAGGGTCTTATTATTCTGAGATACAAATTGGACATATATACCCCACACTGTATATGTGTTCCAATAACCTATAACAGCCTTACTTGGGCCAATTTTTACTACCGGAAAAAGCATTGTCTAGCACGAAGCGCGATTCTTGTTTAATTAAATAAATTGGGACACGTAGACAATTTTCACGTGCATACCTCAGATAAGTGAATGTGATTCCATATAAGAGATCCTTTTATAACAAGTCGATTATTAATACAATGGTATGGCACGTAAGTTTTTGTCACAATGGAAAATGCGGTTGCCTCTGATGAAACCACTTAAATTGCCTTTTATACAGTGACAAACAAACCGTGTTCCAATAACGTCTACAGGGCAATTTGCTTGCAATAATGACACACATAATTTTTTCACGTTTTCAACACAACAAACCTAAATCAAATATATTTGACAGAGGTTGATTCTTGCTCTGCTGGAGCAGAGATCGACCAGAACCGGTTAAAAAACACTTGCAAATTAAACATTTACTCAACTTCGACCGCAAAGCGTAAATTAGAATGCCCATAGAAGGTCATTATCATGTACATGTATAATACAAAAACATTTTCCCTTTCCTGATCAGCAAGCGCCCACATTTAATAGTAGGCCTCAAACACTACCATTCCGAATCAAAATCAACATGAACTCTCTCTATAAAAAAACATGCAACCACAATTAACCGCAAAGATTCCCACAATTTTAATTGGAAACTTCGTTTTTACTGTGCTAATCCAATTGCAAAGAATAATAACTTAATTGCCTTCGATCGTTGGTGTCAGGTTCCCGGTACCAAGCAAGACGCACTTACCACAAACAGCACCCGATCTGCAACTCCGTCAATAATGTTATGAGCAACACGAGTTGCTAACACACTCTGACAGGTCTAGAGCTGCTTTGCCGCCAATACGTACGTATAAGATTGCTTAATCTTTATTATGGTTCACGTGAAGGACAAGATACTACGCTCAAGCTATCAATCAAGTTAGGAAGTATAAACGGGGAGTAATATTGGATTGGCTTTAGTCTTAATTTTCAAGGGAATTGTGGTATATCCCAAGCTCATGATCTAAATATGTGTAAACACAATAATGAGGTTGTGAATAGATAAAAAAAAGCATTGTTATGATGTCACTTATAGAAAAGTGATATTTGCTGTCTGATGGAAAAGCATATGTCGAGATGGTGAATTGGGTACCGATAAAAAAGTGATTTCGCAAAACGTAGTGGTACACTCAATGGCGGATCCCGGAGCATCGGGGAAACTCCCCCCCCCCCTCCAAACACACCCGACCCACCTAAACAAAATGAAAACAGTATTACTAGAGAAATGAGACAAAACAAGCATTTAATTCCCCCCATGCGTCCTGCATATTGCAATACATTTATCCTGGACGACTGCTTGACATTTGTCGGGCGAAACAATGTAAATACAGACTTGACATTTAATATGGAATANTATGTTTTATCCCAGTGTTTCCCCCGCACCCTCCCCCATCCCTTGGCCAATTCATAGTACCGTCGGTGACATTAAGGTAAATAATGTACGTCAAGGGAGTAATTCCGGATGCCTTCCATATAATGTGCCTGATGCATGTATACATGTACATGTGGTATGCAATATGTGGTGATATTCTGGCGCTCTAGGGGGACGACGGAATAATCAGTGAGTTTACACAGATAAAGCAATCTTCTGTCCGACAGCAGTTCTAATTCTGAATCCATAGGGGTGCCAGTATGATAGGTTAAACTGCAGCAGTAAACCGGTCGCATTTAGTTCAACGTGATGATTGGCCTGTCTTGCATGCTGATGGACGTGTTTGATGTCCATTTTCTATTGTCTGATATTGATGCTCTCTCTCTCTCTTTCTCTCTCTCTCTCTCTCTCTGAAATGAGCAAAAATGGCATAACTTTGTCTCAAGAGGAATCAACAATAGCTAATCTATAACGCCAAGTAACACGGAATACTCCAATATCCCTGTACCCGCTATACCAATTGAACTTACGTACGTGATACATGGGCCTGAATGGCTTAATCCGTGCCAAATCAATTTCAATTTCTCTATTCAGCTATCAAAAATCAGTAGTACTTTTCCTTTAGCCTCTTTAACTTTAGCTCCAGCCAATTTTACAAAATATGCTGTGAGAGACGCACAGTACATGAACATATACAATACATGCATGTGCACCACCTTGATTTGTCTGTGTAAACATACAGTGACAATAACTGGGAATCTGCATGGTCTTAGATGCACAGGTTATCCCTGTCAACAGTCTGTTAAAACATGACTTTCGTGCAGACACCATCCGTTTGATATTTTGCTCAAGGAACGTCAGTGTGCAAATTTAATACAAAGTTGGCACACAGCGCATGAAAGTGTCATTCTCTTAAAATGAGATTAAAAAAAGAGAGGAATTGATGCCCAGAACAGACATTATCGGTCTTACATATCAATGGCAAGTTTAAAATTATACTCGTGCTTCCCGGTAAGAGAAGAGGAACCAATCGCGGTGACAAATCCCGTGTTCCACGTGCTGCGTATTCATACATGTATATACTGCTGTTGTAGGTTATTTTGTGAATAGTAATGTCAACTATATGGTAAACTATTTTTTACCAACTCTAATATGTCATCCGCATATCTACATGTAAGTTCTATCACCATATATTTCACATTGCTTGCAAGAAAGACCCATAGACATGGCGACAGTTACACATGTCAAACATTTGGCTATTCTGGCTTGCTCGCTGTTACGAGGAAAGGCGTCAGATAACTACCATGTGTTCATATTGCACTGAAGGAGACGGTATTTTTCATTAAGTTTCGATGACCATTCTGTTTAAACTGGTGGTTCGTGTTCCGTATAACCGGGAGTCTGCTTGTGAGCCATAAACAGTCAGTTTTAGGTACATGACTTGGGGGCCGTCAGGGCATATTTGTATAAATGAGTGGGAACCCGAACCTATATGACAGGGGACTACCTAGTGGAATACACCGTTGTGACAAATATGTCATGCCGTTAGGTACAGCGATCCCTTCTCCATTACTCCCTACAGTTCACATTCGTCCCATATACTAACCTCGGTACGTCTGCCAACCTGAGCGGTTTGTAAAGTGTGCCAGTTGATATAACACAATTGATGAATCACACCCAGCACAACTGATGCATTTTGCACTCCAAACCAACCAGTTTCACACTTCACATGCAAAAAGGCATTTATTTGATTAAAGAGTATGTTCGTCAGATTTTTCATCCGATTTTTCCATATATGGTATATGTGCATCTAGTATTACGTTTGAAATAGTTAAATCGACAAATAAAAAATAGTACAATCAGGATCATTACCAGAATAAAAGAACCCGGCATGATCAAGTTAAAAGACTTCATTTGAACTGAAAAAAAAAAAAAAAAAACTCGTCCGCGTCAGTAGACAATTTCATACCATGTCACAACAAAACTCCATTAAAACAAATGCCACAATTATCTCTAGTTTTTCATATTTGTTCTCCAAATGTTAAACTTCTACTTAAAACAGGTATTTTCTGACGAAAGCGAGACCGATTTGGAAATGTTTTGCTTGCTCAATGCACATTTCCCTGTCACTTTTTTCTCTTGCCTTTCCTTAAAGACTCTTCCTGACCTCCGTTTGCATCCATCCTGTTCTTATTAGCTTTCTTTGCAAACAAAAACAGCACACTAAATATTCCGCCATCAAAACATGTTTTCTCCATTAACTTCTTGGGATATATTCTGCATTGAGTTCCTGCAGAATAGGATAGAAGTGAGCAGACGACGGTTTGCATCTGACTCGTCAATCATGGCGGCCCCCACGTGAACGTTTCTCACTTTGTGGACGATGAAATGGAAATAAGCGTAGCGGAGACGCTGGTTGTGCTAATTGGGCAAACGCTTTAGCAGCCGTCTAGTTTATGGGGCAAGTAGTAAGGTCAAGTAATAGCCTGGCGGGGTTAAACCGCAGGTCGGTCCGGTCAATACAGAAAGACAGAGGGTCTCATGTCCACCACCGGGACACCGGCAGGAAAGTCACATAGTCACAGGGTCACTTACTCTAATCCCTCCCAGATCAAAGCCAAAATGTGTTACCTGGACTAAAATGTACGATGTCTTCGATTGTTTGTGGATTTTCTTCTGGTCAGATAAAAAATTTTAAATAGGGTAAAAAGAAGGACAAAAATACCTGATGATCTTTCTTAGACTTGAATGCGTTCGTTTATCAGTACTTTGATAGTGGTGTTTTTATTACAGGGAGAAGAATAAAGCTAAGAGATAAAAATGAAAGTGACATTTATATAAAATATTAAACCAAATAATTATAATGTAGTTGATAGACTCAGAATTGAAATGGAAACTGAAATGAATGCATGTGTCAATCGGTTAATCAACAGAAATCCCAATAGCCACTCGTGCATCGTAACTATATACCCATGGACACAAACACGCATGAAAATAAGCCGTCGAATTCCTGACCTCGCAATTTTACTAAACAAATTCGCAATTGGCAAAAAATATCACAATAAATCTAAACTATGTTCTCTCACGCGAAGCACTTGGCTTGATCTGACAAGGAAATACCGCGCACTAATAACGCATCTAACCATGTGGTAAGCGCACAATTTCAAGGCGCAGTTCGCCATGACCAATAAACCAAGAATTTTCGGATTTTTGACACCTTTTTTCCTTGCACCATTTGTCACAAATCGACGCGGGAGCCCCCTAGCGCCGGAAGATGGGGACACCTGTCCAGCATGCCTTCACGTTCTCAGAGTATAAATTTCTTGCCGTTGTCGGAGAATTGACTGTGGTAGTATTACTCCTGAAAAACGTGAGGGAAACGTCTCAGCACAGTTCACTGTCGTGGTACGACTCAGTAACAAGCAGCCAACCGAGGTGAAAATACGATCTGACAGCTTCAAGATCAGATCGGAGATTTCTGCTTCATAACGTTAAATAGGTACTTAGCAAGGAAACGTTTAGAGAAGCCAGCTGGTTCTGGTATTCGCTTAGGCTCTTCAAGTGCGATTGTTTTTTCCTACTCTTGCTAATATCAAAAATTTAGTCTTCGTCGTCAAAATCTGAACGTTGTGGCAGATGGACTGTCTTGTGATAACTTCACACGAATATTTGTTCTGTTTCAGAAAGGAATAATTCCAAAATGCTAGTGTTGCCATTGTTTCTCATGCAGGTAAGCCATGTTTCATTTCCATTTTCATATTTTCCATACAGATAAGCTTTGTGTAGCATTATGCCGTTATATATCCGCCTCGGATTTTCTATTTTGAACGATTGATTATTTTAGGCTTCATAGATGATTTATTACTTACTGATATCATGGATCTAGTTCTACTTAACTCTGTTCTTTATTAATACAATTGTTGCAAAGACCTCTCTCAACCGATATTGGAAGGAATAAGCCTGCAATTAAAAATCTTATCTCTTTTCCAAATTTCCAAAATGAACAAAATCTTATATCGGTAATGACTTGATCTCAATAGAGTAGCCCTTTTTTAAATTTCGTTGCTTCCACTCAATAGGAATGCAATTATGACTTGAAAAATAAAGTATACGTAAAATTCAAAATTTCCGCTCGTTGAAAAGATGGAGTAATTACCATACTCATTAAGTATGCAGGTGTTTATTATTATTAGCAATATCTTAAACACAGCGGGGTTTTTTTTACCTCAGGCAGCTTCAATCAATACTTAGATAAACCGGGTTTGTTTAATTGCAATTGATTTGTTTTCTATTTAGGTTTACATGGCTAGCTTACAAGGGGTGCAGGCAGCCAGTAAGTATTGGGTTAGATTAGATTGGATTGTACTTCCTCGCTCTACTTTGAACCTTTGTTTGTAATTTAAAAAAATACTGTACAAAAACATGGGAAAAATATAGTAGGTAACTCTCTAAGCCCGTGGGGTGGGGCTCTTCATCTTCATCGTCACTTTACAAAATATATTAAAAAATAAGTATAACATTACAGTATACTGATATTTTACAAGAATGCTGAAGTTAACTGTCTTCAAGATGCTGAATAGTTAATCTTTATAGAAAATAGGCATTGTACTCTGTGATCATTGGTGTGAAGCTGAATCTTTAGAGTTTTCTGCAAATTAAATAACACATATTCAGTCTTAGACTGAACTGAATAGAACAGGAATGCTGCAAAAACGATTAAATATAAATTGAACAAGCCCTACTGAGTATCGAAGACGACCTTAAATCTGGTGAAGTATTCTCGGAATTTGAGCTTTATTTTATTTCTTTTCTTCTTTTTTTGTGAGGTGAAACAAACAGCTTGCTTTCCTATCAAGATACCAATCCTTGCCAGTTTTTTTTTTTAATTCAAAGCAATAAAAAGATATGTATTATTTGATTTAAAGAACCAATAAATACAGTGTAATTTATAGAGAATAATAGAAATTTCATCAACTGAACCTACATAAAAAACACTCACCCTGCTGCTTATTTTTGTAATTCTAGATATCTCCTGATTTAAATGGATAGTCTGGTTGAAAAATCAAGACATTATTTCTTTTGGGGTTTTTAACTTAATCGTGTATTTATCCAGTTAAATGAGGGCATTGATGCGTTTTGACGTAACTGCGGTTGCACGTAAAAAAACAACGCACTGGATAATTAAAGGGGAACGGGTTCATTTTAACAAGAATGGACTGATGGGGCTTAGGTACAATACGAAGGTTAATTTTACAAGGAAAATGATCTACTAACTGAAAGATAATGTTCTTTTAAACGCATTCCATCGGATCGAATAACACAGAAGGCTCTTTGTGAAACTCGACTTTTGAAAAGCAGCGAAGTATATAACCCAAATACACGTAGGCTGTGCAACGTGACTTAGAAGAACAGAATATATAGCTGTAATGAGTGAAGAGAGTAATATACCCCAACTGCAAACATGTCTAAAGTATCTGTAGTATATAAGTTCAAATATCGTCTGTTAAAAAGGCTTTATTGCAACCTTTTTAACGTTTTATGCTATATATATATTCACTTACTTATGTTCGATGAAATAAAATAGTATTAAAGCAATCTTTATAACATAAATACCACCTGAAACTTTTTTATGTCAAAAGAAGCCATTACCAGGCCAATATTAGCATAAAAGGGCATTTTTAATCATCTCCCACAAAAAATGACAATATAATGATAGATCTATTCTAAATCGTTTTTTCCCTATCAGTTACATGTACCAGAGCTATCGACTTAGTCTTTGTGTTGGACGTCACCACGCCGCTGACACCAATCGAATTCCTCAGGGAAAAACAGTTCATCAAGAACATCATCAACAACTTCGCAGTGGACAGTAACTATGGGGTCAAGGTGGGTCTGGTGCTGTCTGGAGGTTCTTACGACTCCAAAGCCGTCTTCTACCTGGACACCTTTGAGGATCGTGAGAATATGATGCTCGCCATTGACTTTGCTGTGCATCAGGATAAAGGTAAAGGTCTTGCCAGGTCTTGCATGTTGCAGGTAGTTTGGTTTCAGTAGTTTGCGTAATGTTCTTGTGGCCTTTTTTATTATTATTATCATCTTATTTATTTATTTATTTATTTATTTATTTATTTATTTATAAAACATAAGGTCCCTTTTTATATTCTTTTATTTACTGAACACTTAACACAAAATTAACTATAAAAACCACAAGGCCACGTGAGTGTTGAAGCATGCAGGTTATTCTTTACAAAAAGTGCTGATGTGTATAACGCGCGTGTTGCGGTCAGAGTCACTTTAAGTATGTGTTGTAGTAACTCAGCAGTTGTTAAGTGTGAACTGTACCGAATGACCTCTGAGTGAAGAAACGCCGTCCAATATTAAGATTAAGTGGACGCTGTTCCTATAGAAATTCAAACTGTTATCAATTTCACCCTTAGACTGTGATTTTATTTGATTAAATGTTGACTAATAAAAGTTCTTGAAATTAGATAAAAATTGTCCTGATGATTTACAATAATAAAATGATATTACTCGATAAATTCTAGGTCGTATCACATGGTCACATGTCGCACTTCGCCAGGCCAGGAAAGATTTGTTTACGGTTGACCGTGGGTCTCGTCTTGGAGAGAACCCCCTGGTGGTGATTTTCATCACGGGAAATACGCCAGCCTGGCCTCTAGGGGCCACGCTAGAGGGCAGTTTTCTGGAGCAGTCTGGAATCACCACTTATGCCATAGGGATTGGTAAAAAGGTTGGTTTGTCTCTTTTGTGTGTATGCTTTATGCTTTTCTCATGTTAAAAAATGAAAAAAGAAAAGAAAAGAAAACTTAAGCGTGGAGAGGAGGGTGGGGGCTGTTTATACAGTCTTTAAATAAAAGATGCTTCCAAAAGAGTATATAAAGTATTGGATACGCCATTTTCTTAAATGTTCCACCAGAAATTCACCTCCTCTACAGTAAAAATATAATTGGTTTGTGATATTTATTTATTTATTTATTTATTTATTTATTTATTTATTTATTTGCGAGTTTGTTTGTTTATTTATTTATGTATATATTATTTATTTATATATTCAATCGATTATATGGCCCTATTTACTTCATCTTATTTCATTTATTCAATTTATCTTCTTCCTTTTTGTAAGTACAAAAAAGAATATGGGACGTACCACTTAGTGCAAACACGTAAAACTTCCTTTGAGGGTGAAAGAATCCTTTAGTACATACATTTCCGTCACATACTAAACATTTTGTAAATTACATATCGCGAACTAGACTGCAAAAGGCTAGTTTAATTATACGGCATTCCAAGAACCAACCAGTGAAAAAAAACTCTGTATAAACTTCCAATAAGCTTGGTTATATGCTACCGGGTGTTTAGAACATGTGTTTTGTCAATATACACTCACAAACCTTTTGATTCAGTCATTTAAATGGAAATCACACGTTTCTCCGTCATTTTGATTTAACATTCACAAGTGGTATGCGAATAACGTGTAGCCTTATCGACCCGGTAAAGAGGTTTGAGCAATTTCTGCGGCAGCCGAAACGATCTCTATTAGAAAAAGAGAGGTCATAAAACTTTTTGTGACTTTTCCGGTGACGTAATTTCATTTTTTTTCTTGAAGACCATGGTTCAACATATCTTGCAGTTTCCCTCCTCTTTGTTATTTAATGCCTCCCAATTTGATACGATTTCCAAGATAACATTTTTATTCCTTCCTGCCATTGTTGTATTTTTTCCATTTGCTGTTTTCCTCAAAAGCTTTCCCAAGGTTTGCACTTAGTATAACTTTGTANTGTATATGTTGTATTCTAGTGTTTCCCCCGCACCCTCCCCCATCCCTTGGCCAATTCATAGTACCGTCGGTGACATTAAGGTAAAGAATGTACGTCAAGGGAGTAATTCCGGATGCCTTCCATATAATGTGCCTGGTGCATGTATATATGTACATGTAGTATGCAATATGTGGTGATATTCTGGCGCTCTAGGGGGACGACGGAATAATCAGTGAGTTTACACAGATAAAGCAATCTTCTGTCCGACAGCAGTTCTAATTCTGAATCCATAGGGGTGCCAGTATGATAGGTTAAACTGCAGCAGTAAACCGGTCACATTTAGTTCAACATGATGATTGGCCTGTCTTGCATGCTGATGGACATGTTTGATGTCCATTGTCTGATATTGATGCTCTCTCTCTCTCTCTCTTTCTCTCTCTCTCTCTCTCTCTCTGAAATGAGCAAAAATGGCATAACTTTGTCTCAAGAGGAATCAACAATACCTAATCTATAACGCCAAGTAACACGGAATACTCCAATATCTCTGTACCCGCTATGCCAATTGAACTTACGTACGTGATACATGGGCCTGAATGGCGTAATCCGTGCCAAATCAATATCAGGACTTTATCGAGACCGTCTCTGATTTCAATTTCTCTATTCAGCTATCAAAAATCAGTAGTACTTTTCCTTTAGCCTCTTTAACTTTTTGTAGCTCCAGCCAATTTTACAAAATATGCTGTGAGAGACGCACAGTACATGAACATATACAATACATGCATGTGCACCACCTTGATTTGTCTGTGTAAACATACAGTGACAGTAACTGGGAATCTGCATGGTCTTAGGTGCACAGGTTATCCCTGTCAACAGTCTGTTAAAACATGACTTTCGTCATGCAGACACCATCCGTTTGATATTTTGCTCAAGGAACGTCAGTGTGCAAATTTAATACAAAGTTGGCACACAGCGCATGAAAGTGTCATTCTCTTAAAATGAGATTAAAAAAAGAGAGGAATTGATGCCCAGAACAGACATTATCGGTCTTACATATCAATGGCAAGTTTAAAATTATACTCGTGCTTCCCGGTAAGAGAAGAGGAACCAATTGCGGTGACAAATCCCGAGTTCCACGTGCTGTGTATTCATACATGTATATACTGCTGTTCTAGGTTATTTTGTGAATAGTAATGTCAACTATATGGTAAACTATTTTTTACCAACTCTAATATGTCATCCGCATATCTACATGTAAGATCTATCACCATATATTTCACATTGCTTGTAAGAAAGACCCATAGACATGGCGACAGTTACACATGTCAAATATTTGGCTATTCTGGCTTGCTCGCTGTTACGAGGAACGGCGTCAGATAACTACCATGTGTTCATATTGCACTGAAGGAGACGGTATTTTTCATTAACTTTCGACGAACATTCTGTTTAAACTGGTGGTTCGTGTTCCGTATAACCGGGAGTCTGCTTGTGAGCCATATACAGTCAGTTTTAGGTACATGACTTGGGGGACGTCAGGGCATATTTGTATAAATGAGTGGGAACCAGAACTTATATGACAGAGGACTGCCTAGTGGAATACACTGTTGTGACAAATATGTCAGGCCTTTTGGTACAGCGATCCCTTCTCCATTACTCCCTACAGTTCACATTCGTCCCATATACTACCTCGGTACGTCTGCCAACCTGAGCGGTTTGTAAAGTGTGCCAGTTGATATAACACAATTGATGAATCACACCCAGCACAACTGATGCATTTTGCACTCCAAACCAACCAGTTTCACCCTTCACATGCAAAAAGGCATTTATTTGATTAAAGAGTATGTTCGTCAGATTTTTCATCCGATTTTTCCATATATGGTATATGTCCATCTAGTATTACGTTAGAAATAGTTAAATCGACAAATAAAAAATTGTACAATCAGGATCATTACCAGAATAAAAGAACCCGGCATGATCAAGTTAAAAGACTTCATTTGAACTGAAAATAAAACCCCTTCGTCCACGTCAATAGACATTTTCATACCATGTCACAACAAAACTCCATTAAAACAAATGCCACAATTATCTCTAGTTTTTCATATTTGTTCTCCAAATGTTAAACTTCTACTTAAAACAGGTATTTTCTGACGAAACCGAGACCGATTTGGAAATGTTTTGCTTGCTCAATGCACATTTCCCTGTCACTTTTTTCTCTTGCCTTTCCTTAAAGACTCTTCCTGACCTCCCTTTGCATCCATCCTGTTCTTACCTTTCTTTGCAAACAAAAACAGCACACTAAATATTCCGCCATCAAAACATGTTTTCTCCATTAACTTCTTGGGATATATTCTGCATTGAGTTCCTGCGAACAGGGTAGAAGTGAGCAGACGACAGTTTGCATCTGACTCGTCAATCATGGCGGGGCCCCCACGTGAACGTTTCTCACTTTGTGGATTATGAAATGGAAATAAGCGTAGCGGAGACGCTGGTTGTGCTAATTGGGCAAACGCTTTAGCAGCCGTCTAGTTTATGGGGCAAGTAGTAAGGTCAAGTAATAGCCTGGCGGGGTTAAACCGCAGGTCGGTCCGGTCAATACAGAAAGACAGAGGGTCTCATGTCCACCACCGGGACACCGGCAGGAAAGTCACATAGTCACAGGGTCACTTACTCTAATCCCTCCCAGATCAAAGCCCAAATGTGTTACCTGGACTAAAATGTACGATGTCTTCGATTGTTTGTGGATTTTCTTCTGGTCAGATAAAAAATTTTAAATAGGGTAAAAAGAAGGACAAAAATACCTGATGATCTTTCTTAGACTTGAATGCGTCCGTTTATCAGTACTTTGATAGTGGTGTTTTTATTAAAGGAAGAAGAATAAAGCTAAGAGATAAAAATGAAAGTCATATTTATATAAAATATTAAAACCAAATAATTATAATGCAGTTGATAGACTCAGAATTGAAATGGAAACTGAAATGAATGCATGTGTCAATCGCTTAATAAACAGAAATCCCAATAGCCACTCGTGCATCATAACTATATACCCATGGACACAAACACGCATGAAAATAAGCCGTCGAATTCCTGACTTCGCAATTTTACTAAACAAATTCGCAATTGGCAAAAAATATCACAATAAATCTAAACTATGTTCTCTCACGCGAAGCACTTGGCTTGATCTGACAAGGAAATACCGCGCACTAATAACGCATCTAACCATGTGGTAAGCGCCCAATTTCAAGGTGCAGTTCGCCATGACCAATAAACCAAGAATTTTCGGATTTTTGACACCTTTTTTCCTTGCCCCATTTGTCACAAATCGACGCGGGAGCCCCCTAGCGCCGGAAGATGGGGACACCTGTCCAGCATGCCTTCACGTTCTCAGAGTATAAATTTCTTGCCGTTGTCGGAGAATTAACTGTGGTAGTATTACTCCTGAAAAACGTGAGGGAAACGTCTCAGCACAGTTCACTGTCGTGGTACGACTCAGTAACAAGCAGCCAACCGAGGTGAAAATACGATCTGACAGCTTCAAGATCAGATCGGAGATTTCTACTTCATAACGTTAAATAGGTACTTAGCAAGGAAACGTTTAGAGAAGCCAGCTGGTTCTGGTATTCGCTTAGGCTCTTCAAGTGCGATTGTTTTTTCCTACTCTTGCTAATATCAAAAATTTAGTCTTCGTCGTCAAAATCTGAACGTTGTGGCAGATGGACTGTCTTGTGATAACTTCACACGAATATTTGTTCTGTTTCAGAAAGGAATAATTCCAAAATGCTAGTGTTGTCATTGTTTCTCATACAGGTAAGCCATGTTTTATTTTCATTTTCATATTTTCCTTACAGATAAGCTTTGGGTAGCATTATGCCGTTACATATCCGCCTAGGAATTTTTATTTTGAACGATTGATTATTTTAAGCTTCATAGATGATTTATTACTTACTGATATCATGGATCTAGTTCTACTTAACTCTGTTCTTTATGAATACAATTGTTGCAAAGATCTCTCTCTACCGATATTGGAAGGAATAAGCCTGCAATTAAAAATCTTATCTCTTTTCCAAATTTCGTTTTCAAAATGAACAAAATCTTATATCGGTAATGACTTGATCTCTATAGAGTAGCCTTTTTTTAATTTCGTTGCTTCCACTCAATAGGAATGTTCTTATTTTAAGCAATTATTGAAAAATAAAGTATACGTAAAATTCAAAATTTCCGCTCGTTGAAAAGATGGAGTAATTACTATACTCATTAAGTATACAGGTGTTTATTATTATTATTATTATTATTAATATCTTAAACACAGCGGGGTTTTTACCTCAGGCAGTTTCAATCAATACTTACTGTAGATATACAGGGTTTGTTTAATTGCGATTGATTTGTTTTCCATTTAGGTTTACATGGCTAGCTTACAAGGGGTGCAGGCAGCCAGTAAGTATTGGGTTAGATTAGATTGGATTGTACTACCTCGCTCTACTTTGAACCTTTGTTTGTAATTTAAAAAAAAAATACTGTACAAAAACATGGGTAAAATATAGTAGGTAACTCTCTAAGCCCGTAGGGTGGAGCTCTTCATCTTCATCGTCACTTTACAAAATATATTAAAAAATAAGTATAACATTACAGTATACTGATATTTTACAAGAATGCTGAAGTTAACTGTCTTCAAGATGCTGAATTGTTAATCTTTATAGAAAAATAGGCATTGTACTCTGTGATCATTGGTGTGAAGCTGAATCTTTAGAGTTTTCTGCAAATTAAATAACACATATTCAGTCTTAGACTGAACTGAATAGAACAGGAATGCTGCAAAAACGATTAAATATAAATTGAACAAGCCCTACTGAGTATCGAAGACGACCCTAAATCTGGTGAAGTATTCTCGGAATTTGAGCTTTATTTTATTTCTTTTCTTCTTTTTTTGTGAGGTGAAACAAACAGCTTGCTTTCCTATCAAGATACCAATCCTTGCCAGTTTTTTTTAATTCAAAGCAATAAAAAGATATGTATTATTTGATTTAAAGAACCAATAAATACAGTGTAATTTATAGAGAATAATAGAAATTTCAACAACTGAACCTACATAAAAAACACTCACCCTGCTGCTTATTTTTGTAATTCTAGATATCTCCTGATTTAAATGGATAGTCTGGTTGAAAAATCAAGACATTATTTCTTTTGGGGTATTTAACTTAATCGTGTATTTATCCAGTTAAATGAGGGCATTGATGCGTTTTGACGTAACTGCGGTTGCACGTAAAAAAACAACGCACTGGATAATTAAAGGGGAACGAGTTCATTTTAACAAGAATGGACTGATGGGGCTTAGGTACAATACAAAGGTTAATTTTACAAGGAAAATGATCTACTAACTGAAAGATAATGTTCTTTTAAACGCATTCCATCGGATCGCATAACACAGAAGGCTCTTTGTGAAACTCGACTTTTGAAAAGCAGCGAAGTATATAACCCAAATACACGTAGACTGTGCAACGTGACTTAGGAAACAGAATATATAGCTATAATGAGTGAAGAGAGTAATATACCCCAACTGCAAACATGTCTAAAGTATCTGCAGTATATAGGTTCAAATATTGTCTGTTGAAACGACTTTATTGCAACCTTTTGTAACGTTTTATGCTATATATATTCACTTACTTATGTTCGATGAAATAAGATAGTATTAAAGCAATTTTTAAAACATAAATACCACCTGAAACTTTTTTATTTCAAAAGAAGCCATTACCAGGCCAATATTAGCATAAAAGGGCATTTTTAATCATCTCCCACAAAAAATGACAATATAATGATAGATCTATTCTAAATCTTGTATCAAATTCCAAAGATTCAACATCACTATTTCTTCTCTATCAGTTACATGTAACAGAGCTATCGACTTAGTCTTTGTGTTGGACGTCACCACGCCGCTGACCCCAATCGAATTCCTCAGGGAAAAACAGTTCATCAAGAACATCATCAACAACTTCGCTGTGGACAGTAACTATGGGGCCAAGGTGGGTCTGGTGCTGTCTGGAGGTTCTTACGACTCTAAAGCCGTCTTCTACCTGGACACCTTTGAGGATCGTGAGAATATGATGCTCGCCATTGACTTTGCTGTGCATCAGGATAAAGGTAAAGGTCTTGCCAGGTCTTGCATGTTCCAGGTAGTTTGGTTCCAGTAGTATGCTTAGGGTTATTGTGTTTTTTATTTTATTTTATTTTTGCTGTTATTTTTCGTGATTATACAATAATTATACATTAATCATATCATAATCTGAAAAATCTCGAGAATAAGTATTATATTCATTTATTTACTGAAAACATAAGACAGAATTAACTTTAAAAAGCACAAGGCCACATGAGTGTTGAAGCATGCAGATTGATCTTTACAAAAAGTGCTGATGTGCATAGGGCGCGTGTTGCGGTCACAATCACTTAGGTATGTGTTGTAGTAACTCAGCAGTTGTTAAGTATGAAGTGTACTGAATGACCTCTGAGTGAAGAAACGACGTCCAATATTAAGATAAAGTGGTCGCTTACCCTGTAAAAATACAAACTTTTATCAATTGCACCCTTAGACTGTGATTTTATTTGATTAAATGTTGACTAATAAAAGTTCTTAAAATTAGATAATACATTATCCGGATGATTTACAATAATAAAGTGATTTTATTCGATAAAATCTAGGTCGTATCACATGGTCACACGTCGCACTTCGCCAGGCCAGAAAAGATTTGTTCACGGTTGACCGTGGGTCTCGTCTTGGGGAGAACCCCCTGGTGGTGATTTTCATCACGGGGAACACGCCTGCCTGGCCTCTAGGGGCCACGCTAGAGGGCAGTTTTCTGGAGCAGTCTGGAATCACCACTTATGCCATAGGGATTGGTAAAAAGGTTGGTTTGTCTCTTTTGTGTGTATGCTTTATGCTTTTCTCTTGTTAAAAAATGAAAAAAAAAACTTTAGCATGGAGAGGAGGGCGGGGGCTGTTTATACAGTCTTTAAATAAAAGATGTTTCCAAAAGAGTATATAAAGTATTGGATAGGCCATTTTCTTAAATGTTCTACCAGAAATTCACCTCCTCTACAGTAAAAATATAATTGGTTTGTCATATTTATTTATTTATTTATTTGCGAGTTTGTTTGTTTGTTTACTTATGTATATATTATTTATTTATATATCCAATCGATTATATGGCCCTATTTTATTTCATCTTATTTCATTTATTTATTTAATCTTCAACCTTTGAGCAAGTACAAAAAAGAATATGGGACATACCACTTAGTGCAAACACGTAAAACTTCCTTTGAGGGTGAAAGAATCCTTTAGTACATACATTTCCGTCACATACTAAACATTTTGCAAATTACATATCGCGAACTAGACTGCAAAAGGCTAGTTTAATTATACGGCATTCCAAGAACCAACCAGTGAAAAAAACTCTGTTTAAACTTCCAATAAGCTTGGTTATATGCTACCGGGTGTTTAGAACATGTGTTTTGTCAATATACACTCACAACCCTTTTGATTCAGTCATTTAAATGGAAATCACACGTTTCTCCGTCATTTTGATTTAACATTCACAAGTGGTATGCGAATAACGTGTAGCCTTATCGACCCGGTAAAGAGGTTTGAGCAATTTCTGCGGCAGCCGAAACGATCTCTATTAGAAAAAGAGAGGTCATAAAACTTTTTGTGACTTTTCCGGTGACGTAATTTCATTTTTTTTTCTTGAAGACCATGGTTCAACATATCTTGCAGTTTCCCTCCTCTTTGTTATATAATGCCTCCCAATTTGATACGATTTCCAAGATAACATTTTTATTCCTTCCTGCCATTGTTGTATTTTTTTCCATTTGCTGTTTTCCTCAAAGGCTTTCCCAAGGTTTGCACTTAGTATAACTTTGAAGTTAAATTCGAGACTGTACACGTGTATATACGACGGACTGGTTATCAGAACAAACCAACGAGTCTCCACTTAAAGAATAACTTGCAATTAAATACCACTAAAGTGGATGTGACTTTAACTTAGAGCACAATATAGATGTAGTGCACTCAATAATAATTTTAGTAATTGAATTTACATTAGGTTTGTCAACCTTGCGATGTCAGATTTAACGAAGTTGAGAAGAGCTAGATGAGGGTAACATCCACAGAGATGATAAATACAACCCCCATCCCCCCCCCGCCCCCCTCCCCCCCGAAAATATTCGAGAAACCCGAAAATGTAAGTCCCTTTAGCGGATTCATAGGGGCTCTTATAGAAAAATAGAAGACCGAATACCGATAAAACAAAATACTCAGCTATATGGTTCGATAATTTCAGATCACGAAAACAGAGTTGAACGCCGTTTCCATTGACCCCAAGCGGTCACTCGTGGTAAACAGTGTTTACGAACTGGCCGGGGTGGACAGAGCACTAGCGTCGCTGATCTGTAGACAGAGGACACGGGACCCAACAACTATTCAAAGTAAGGCAGATTTGTTGTAGTGCCTGTTTTAGAGAGTAATATAAAGTGTTTGTTCCTAGTTATATGGGCCTCTGGGCCTCTTATTGTACACACTTTATATACGGAATTGGTAATATTAGAGTCGTTGATTACACAAACGCACTCGCACACATCATGATTGTGAAACATCATACCCTTGATGTCGGAATATATTCATTTTACTTAAGCAAAATACTTAATATGTAATGTCTTGTTCTTTTGCCAAATTTGCTACGATTTATACAGAATGGCTCAACTGAAAATAATGATACAAGTACAGGCTACAGACTTGGTCTATGTTTAAACGTAAATATTACTGATAAATTCCAGAAAGATCTTCCTATGTTTGTTTGTCGTTTATTAATTTGTTCTTATTTTAGAATGTGAAAATGATCCCAAAGCCGACATCGCGTTCGCCCTGGGTTCTCGTGCTATCCGGGAGGACGGGCTGGCCCCCAAGGTCACGCGTCTCGTGAACAACCTGGCCAGAAGGGTGAAGGTCGGCCCGGACGGTATTCTCATGTCCATGTTGCCGGAATTCTGCTTCGCTCCCGGCTTCAAGTTTATGGACTATGAGACGAAGGATGAAGTACTGGGGCATTTTGATCGTATCGAGGTATGGGCTGATTGTTACATGTATCACTTAATGCAAAACGCTACATGTACTGGGTACGTACTTGCCTAACGTTCATACAACTGAAACAGTTTCTTTCAGAGTACGGTAATACGAATATACATCTTGCTTACGGAAAGAGTTTGTTCCGTGATGGTGGAAAAATTACAAAAACTGGAAAGCAGCTTAGAGTATTTTTTTTTTTTTGCCAATTTAAATACTCAGTCTTAGGAAAAAGAAAACGGATATAAGTAAGCAAGATGAAGAAATCTGTGAAAAATTAAACCAGCAACTAAACGTTTACTCAATGCCTTTAAAATGATATCATAGGCACATGTGAATAATTAGACCAAGAAAGATCAATAATTTATGCATTATCTTTGTTTCAAAAGAACACTTTACCCAGCACAGCAGACCTAATACGCACGATGGTCAGTACGACGTTCACTCCAGAGCACGGCTCAAGGCCGGACGCCAGACACCTGGGTGTGGTCCTGGTGGACTCAGAGCTACAGGAACCGGATGACGCGGAGAGGGCCGCCATGGAAGCAAGGAAAGCCGGGATAGAAATATTCGTCGTTGGTAAGATAATGCTTGTGATGATTTGCAGTCAATCACATGTGTATCTGGCGTAAAAATGTGATTCGATCTTTCTGAGATCCTTGAATGTGCGGAATACAGTATGTAGTCGACCACTTCAAACTGGCTTTCGAACTCCAGACGGAAGCTAGCCTCTCTCTCGGGGGGGAGGGGGGGGTTCAAAAGTAAAGCAGTGGGGGCACTGTTGGGTTAGAATAAATGGCTTTATTTTTACTTTAAATTTGGAATCTCGTCTTAGTTTCACTGTTGCAAAGCACGCGTCCAAATAAATTGGCATTTATCGCCCTCTTTGACATACAAATTGTACTACGTTTGGAAGTTCAGGGTACGTTCTTCGTGAAGTGCAGGGTTCTTTTTCACTATAATCACGTTTTTTTCCCTTGGTTTTTTTTTATTTTTATAAAATTGCGCGATTCAAATAGCCTACTAAGCAGCACCATTTCAATGCCAATAGGGCCTACTTATCCAACCCACAAGGCTGTAATTGTTTTGATTCGGCTTAAGAAGAAATAAAAGTTTTTTGTTTATTCTGTAAGCGATAGTATATGTAGCTGTAATTCTTATTATGTACCATAGTCATATGTTACTAGACAGGTGCGTTTCCTTTTTCATTGTCAATTTTAACCTTCATTTGCAACTTGATTGTGGCACTTTCTGTTACATCTCAATCCTCAGTGCCGTTTTTTTAACGCGTGTGTCTCTCTCAGTTACCAGCTCTATTAAGACAAACGGGACATTTTGTCGGTCCACGGGTAGCACTAATAATAGCCGTTTAATCGAAATGTTTCCTGTTTTCCTCAAACCTGCGGTTATTTCCACTTGATTACCATCGGCCCAAGTTTACTCACTTTAGGCAGCGAACCTTGCGCTGTCAGAGCACGTTATTTTCTGGTCTGTGTTACGAGGGCAAATTAATCTGCTGACTTTCTTGGCGCAGTTGCGCAATATTATGGCTCCCTTTGCACCGATTGTTTTATATTCGTTGGGCCGATTTTAAGGATACTTTAAGTAAACGTTAATCCCTGGCGACTACTGATAACAGGTGCACTGAAAGCGATTTTGAAACAACAACATCATTAATTTTCTTAATTTTTCTAGTTTCACTGGAACGAACAGCGCGCTTCGAAAGTAAACATACAAACTGATTTATGTTATGAGAATGAAATCAGTACGGTAGATCTTGGTTACGCAATAACGCCATTTATCTTCTAGTTAGGCAGCAGATTTCACAGCTCGGCTTACTTCAAGGGTGATCGTGATTAATCCGTAATAGAATACGCGTTTTTTTGGCAACAGGATATTTCATCCTGTTATTGGTCTGATCGTGAGGTAAAAGAAAACATATTTTATTACTTATCCGATAAACAGTCCGATAAACAGATTCGAGCCAATTTTTAAGGTTGTGGGAGATTTTACTCTTTACTAATAAAAAGTATTATTCCAGCGTAACCAGCCATTCATGTTGATCCTGCCATGTTTCACTCACTCGTACAAGTCAATGTTTTGTCGCTACGTTTAATAGTATTATTATTAGTATAGCGTTCAATATGAAAGGATAATCTTTATAAGCTTGGGGCTTTGGAGGGTCTAAGCTGAACGCAAGGCGGACCTTAACAAATAAATAAATAAATAACTGCTTATATGTTCGTTTTTGAGACTCAAGAAAAAGGGCGATTTCATATAATCGATTTCACATACGATATTCATACGTATCATTTTACGCTAGGTGTGACAGAGCCTTTACGAGAGCCGCCCCCTCATCAATCTAATTCCTCTAACAAGGGTGACAAGAAGAAGCAGTCGGCGTGTTCTAACTACTCTATAAGCGTGGTGGGATGTTAAATTAGACGTGCTTCCCTTTCCTAACGACCTTTAACCAAAGTGTCTGTAATTCAGTGTCATAATAGCCCACGAAGCTGTCAAACACGCTGTGATCGAGACACTTCGGCTATCCCAACTAGCACAGTCATAGGCCCCTCTCGTCCGTAACCGCGTTACTCTGAGGTTTAGTGCCGCTTGTTTGTGGTCGCCAAGCTTTTTTAATAGTCTAGTTAACCTGCACTTCGGGAAACCCAACCTTAATACTTTTAGATTCACCACAGTACAATAATAATAAATCAATTATGTCCACTTTTTTAGCATCAAATCATGCCGCGTTTAGCAGTTTGTTTATAGATTTTTAAAAAGACAGCCCTTGTGTTTCTTTATGTGGGTGTCTTGGGAGGGAAGTCTGTTGGTGTGGCATGGAAGTTGTAAATTCATGGAACTGCTCACGTTTTTTCCTTCTTTTTTTTAATATTCATGCATTGATGTGTCCATCCAGTTTATTGTTCATTCGTTTATTCATCAATCCATTAATTCCATCACTCTTTGATTTATTTCTTCAAACATCTGTTCACCTTTTCCGTTATAGAAATAAGGCAAGCAGGGAACCAAGTATTGTACGAAGTCTCATTGATTTTCAGACAAATGCTTGCACACAATACTATAAAAAGGAGAGATAAAATAGGGAAAACGTTATCAAGCAATATCTGATTTCATTTCTTTTTGTTATTATAGGTGTCGGGAGAAACATAACATACGCCGAACTGGAAAGAATCGCCAGTACTCCTCCTCGGCAACACGTGACCATGGTAGATAATTACTGCACAGTACCCAGTGTCCATTTTAAGCTGTTTGACCTACTTTGCTGAGACATTGGACGCGCCAGTACAACCTTCNCCCAAGTTTACTCACTTTAGGCAGCGAACCTTGCGCTGTCAGAGCACGTTATTTTTTGGTCTGTGTTACGAGGGCAAATTAATCTGCTGACTTTCTTGGCGCAGTTGCGCAATATTATGGCTCCCTATGCACCGATTGTTTTATATTCGTTGGGCCGATTTTAAGGATACTTTAAGTAAACGTTAATCCCTGGCGACTGCTGATAACAGGTGCACTGAAAGCGATTTAAAAACAACAACAGCATTAATTTTCTTAATTTTTCCAGTTTCACTGGAACGAACAGCGCGCTTCGAAAGTAAACATACAAACTGATTTATTTATGTTATTGAAGAGAATGAAATCAATACGGTAGATCTTGGTTACGCAATAACGCCATTTATCTTCTAGTTAGGCAGCAGATTTCACAGCTCGGCTTACTTCAAGGGTGATCGTGATTAATTCGTAATAGAATACACTTTTTTGGCAACAAGATATTTCATCATGTTATTGGTCTGATCGTGAGGGAAAGGAAAACATACTTCATTTCTAATCCGATAAACAGTCCGATAAACAGAATCGAGCCAATTTTAAATGTTGTGAGAGATTTTACTTTTTACTAATGAAAAGTATTATTCCAGCGTAACCAGCCATTCATGTTGATCCTGCCATGTTTCACTCACTCGTACAAGTCCATGTTTTGTCGATGCCTTTAATAGTATTTAGTGGGTATGCGTTTAACGGTAAAGCGTTCAATATGAAAGGATAATCTTTCAAAGCTTGGGGCTTTGAAGGGTCTCAGCTGAACGTAATGCGGACATTTAGATACTGTCTCACTTAGAGTATAGCACTCGCACGTTCGGGAAAAATTGCCCATACGCAGAAATACTCACGGGATTCATACTCATGTACGTCTTGAGTACGCAGACAAACGTAGGAGTAGGTTTGCACACGCGAAGGGAGATATAAAATTTTTTGAACATGCTCAAAAATAAATAAATAAACAAAAACACTTCGCTTATGTTCGTTTTTGAGACTCAAGAAAAAGGACGATTTCATATAATCGATTTCACATACGATAGTCATACGTATCACTTTACGCTAGGTGTGACAGAGCCTTTACGAGAGCCGCCCCCTCATCAATCTAATTCCTCTAACAAGGGTGACAAGAAGAAGCAGTCGGCGTGTTCTAACTACTCTACAAGCGTGGTGGGATGTTAAATTAGACGTGCTTCCCTTTCCTAACGACCTTTAACCAAAGTGTCTGTAATTCAGTGTCATAATAGCCCACGAAGCTGTCAAACACGCTGTGATCGAGACACTTCGGCTATCCCAACTAACACAGTCATAGGCCCCTCTCGTCCGTTACCGCGTTACTCTGCGGTTTAGTGCCGCTTGTTTGTGGTCGCCAAGCTTTTTTAATAGTCTAGTTAACCTGCACTTCGGGAAACCCAACCTTAATACTTTTAGATTCACCACAGTACAATAATAATAAATCAGTTATGTCCACTTTTTTACCCATCAAATCATGCCGCGTTTAGCAGTTTGTTTATAGATTTTTAAAAAGACAGCCCTTGTGTTTCGTTATGTGGGTGTCTGAGGAGGGAAGTCTGTTGGTGTGGCATTGATGGTGTTAATTCATGGAACTGCTCACATTTTTTCCTTCTTTTTTTTATATTCATGCATTGATGTGTCCATCCAGTTTATTGTTCATTCGTTTATTCATCAATCCATTAATTCCATCACTCTTTGATTTATTTCTTCAAACATCTGTTCACCTTTTCCGTTATAGAAATAAGGCAAGCAGGGAACCAAGTATTGTACGAAGTCTCATTGATTTTCAGACAAATGCTTGCACACAATACTATAAAAAGGAGAGATAAAATAGGGAAAACGTTATCAAGCAATATCTGATTTCATTTCTTTTTGTTATTATAGGTGTCGGGAGAAACATAACATACGCCGAACTGGAAAGAATCGCCAGTACTCCTCCTCGGCAACACGTGACCATGGTGGATAATTACTGCACAGTACCCAGTGTCCATTTTAAGCTGTTTGACCTACTTTGCTGAGACATTGGACGCGCCAGTACAACCCACGACGTGACGCAAAAAGGACACGCCCACCACTTAAACGTGTCGAGAATAGGACACACCTACTTCAGTGCATGTGACAAAAATAGCACATGCCAACTGAAAACGGATGTAAAGCGGCTGCGCTCTCTAAGCGCGTGTAATATATCTAAAAACAGGCTCTTTGATGTTTTAGGAAATGTAAATTCGCCCTCACGCTATTCGATCTCCTTTAAGAAGCCGCACAGCGTTTGCCAGAATATCACGTTTACGCAAGAGTAATCACCAAAGCTTGGCATGTTACACATAACATCTGAGCGCCATAACACAACGGCTATCTATTTAACATACGGTTCGTCAGCAGGGTAAAAACTTCGGATGTGATATTAATGTGATATACGCAGTGCACACCTCATAACTTGGACGTTTTGCTATTGGCAATTTATTCAGCTACGCGAAGATCAAATTAGGCAATGCTCATATAGGAGCGAGTTTCAAGAAAGTGCCTAAGAAAAGATTCCATCCATAAGATTTACTCGAAATAAAAGAATTCAAGTTAAGAGGCGATGAGGTGTGTGGTGTCTATTGTACTCGGAATATATTGGTAAAACCCTGCAATACATGCCTTCATTGTACATATTTCCATTCAGTCGGGAGTGCGCATGCTTTGGAAGCACCTCGAACTTCGAAGTTTACAGAAAACCAGCCTCTACATCATGCATTGTCTATGCTGTGGAAATAATGAGACAGAGGCAAGCCAGTTTGCAGTAAATTGCAATACCAAGGGTGATTGCACGTGACATAAACATATCGAGATGAAGGAACATAATATAATTTTTTGACAAAAACGCTGTGACTTGCTATTACTGGTCCAGCGTTTTTTACGTACGTGAATCCTTTGCTGTACAGAATATATTATCTTAATCTCAGTAAAGCACAATTAAATATTGCAGATTTCATATCTTAAGAGGTACTTTTCAGTATCAATAGAGAATGATGTACTGTAAAAAGTGGTGTTTCCAATTAAAAAATACACTTATTAATAAGAAAAGGTAAACTTTAGTTCCTGTCAGTTGGGCCCCGATCGTAATGTTTTGCCAATGTCTTCAGCTGTCCTCCAACTTTGACAAACATATTTTTGGAGTTTTCAGCTTGGTCGATTTTCTCTGATCCACCGGCGTTGCAGAAATGGTAGTCCTAGGAATAGAAATATGGGGTTCCATGTGATTAGTACATGGCAGGGTTAGTTGGAGTATTGGGGTTAATATGTGGGGGGAATGTCATCTGTACAAAGTGATGGGGAGCGGACTACGATTTCTAGCGGACTACCATTCCTGTTACAGTGGAATGCCCAGAGTAATAATTAATATTTTTATTTTTTTCAGACTGTTGTTAAGGTTATGTTTCTCGTCTGTAAAATAAATACGCATTTTTCGAATATTATTTTTCATTTGCAATTATTACTGGTACATAGTACGTGTACATGTAAGTAAATACTGTACGTTTTCAAGATAGCAAAATAAATGGTTCGAATTTGCGGTCGTGTTCCCACACTTTAATTGCACCGGTTAATTAGCAACACCCATCTCTCAGTGATTGGTAGATTATGTTCAATATCTGCAGTACTAAATGCTTCATATACATGCTCGATCATTTCGGATATAGATAACTCTCTATAGTTATAAGACCTTCGCACACACGTGAAACATATTCCGGCCATTTTCCAGTGTTCAATAGACATTGGCCACGTGTTACCCTCTGCCTTATTCTATGCAATTTTCTGTACTAACAAGAATTTTTGTGCAAAATTTCAGAAATGACGTCATCGCCCAAACTGGTCTATGGTAAAAAGTAGGTCACCAGTACACGTAATCCGCACCCACACACATTTACACACACACACGCAATTCCGATATATTTTTTTTTTTGTGAAAGGCATGAACAACTGATTTTCGACTAGTAATGACGCACACCACCAGAGAGATAAAAAAACTTTCCAGGTGAAATGTGAATCTTGAATTCACCCCCTTTAATAAAAACACGTATTTGTTTGTTGATGCATTATATATTTTAGGTTTGTATGTATTCCGTGCAAAAATACGTCTTTCTGTTATTGGGGGAATAAAACAGCCAGTCTTTTCTGAATTCGGAAAACACAGAGCGCCATCACTTATTTATGCACAAAGACGTTAAACACAAAGCTGTCGGATTGACTGATATTACCGGCGACAAGGAGTATTTTGAGAGATGCTCACAGGTGCTTTTTCTCACCATAGTTCTTCGACAGGTTCAGATAAACCAAGTCTTGGAAAGTGGGGTGCTAGACCGCTGTCCCATACACCCAGCTCTTTCAATATTATACTGGTCAATCTGAGAAAGCAAAAAGTGGCCATGGATTAAAATCTGCAGAATATGTATATTAGTTTTTCATTAGATGTTCATTTTTCTGTTTCCCAGCTGACAAAAAGCATTTGATTGTCATAAAATAATACTGGCATAACAAAAAGACAGTGTGCGTATTTGTCATATATGCATTATTTATGCACTCAGATATCTTCCTTAAGATTTGGTTTATTCTCTTGCTTTAAGATATTTGCCACTTTCTTTTGATCTTTGTAGCTCAGAACAAAAAAATCAATGGCCATGACGGTAACATTAAGGAAATTGTTTAAATAAAAAAGAAACCCGTCTCGTGCTAATGTTTTCCAAGGGCCACTGAGAAAATTGATCGCGGTAGCCTGTTTCATTACCCACTCTGATTTACCTATGAGCAGGGTGTATGTGGGTGGCCCCCACATTCACTGGTGGCTCCTAGATTTTGCTATGGGCGGGGAAAGCAAGACAAAAAAAAAAAAACAAAAATAAAGATTGAAACCAAGGAAGTATATAGCAATAGACGAAGACCGTGTCCCTTTGTCCTTATGCCAATTTTATTGGCGTAATATTTAAAATCACACCTTGCGCGACAATCCTCTATCTGTATATTGAAAAAGTACTAGTTTTTCAAATAATTCATAACCCATACTCAAAGCGTGTTTACAAGTAATGCTTTGATCAACTGTGTTGGATAATAATTTGAAAAATGTTGAAGTTACCAGGAACATTTTATTATTATTATTATTATTATTATTATTATTATTATTATTATTTGTTCCAAAAAGAAGGCCTAGATCGTGTGCCTTTCAACCGAGCTGTGCCATCTGTCAATCAATATAGCCAAGAGACAGGCCGCCATGTTACATCAGGTCAGTCATCGTACAGGTGCTTCACAGGGATGATCTGAGTCACAAAACAATCGAAGGGAAAATGATGTCTAAAGTTTGGTTTCTTCTGATTTTCGTCATACATATTTGGAACTTTGAAACCTCAGGTGCGTATACAAACATTGAAATTAATGTTTTGAACAATTCCTTGTTTTTTATGTGGTCGTTAAGAAGGTGATGGTGAATTATTGGTGAGTTTCGTTCTGAGCGGCAAGATTATCAAGTTGATTTTAAATCTGTTGATTTTTCTATCAAGGTTGTCCTCCAATTAGGTTGCAGGTTGGTTTTTGAATCACACTGCATGTAAATGTATGTTGGATTTATGATAAAAAAGATGTTTTGAAAATGGACGGTTTGTAAAACGAAAATAGAGCGAAAATGTAATATTTAACATTTGCATTTTTATGAAAAAGATTTTTGATTGAACTACACTGTCAACGAAAGGTTATATCAACAACATTATCTTTTGCTAAAAATTTTCAAATAACCAATTTGGAGGCGAGACTATATATAGATTTAATTAAAGAAAATTGAAGACAGAAAATGTGCGCCTTGTTTAGAGCCAGATTTGCTCTTTATTTAAATTTTGCACTCATATATTTAATTTGCAAACTTCAACCGTTCGTTTGCATTATTATTATTATTATTATTATTATTATTATTATTATTATTATTAAACCTCATCTTTTATTTATTATTTGTATTCAATAAGAAATAAAAAATGACGCATAGGTTCATACGTAGCATACAGCATGCTATAAAAGTACATTGTTCATATCACCATCTCTCTGTTTAATTCCAGATTCCGCCCTGATAAAGCGATGTCCGTCCCACAGCACGGGGTTGTTCCAGATGAGACCAAACACGTGGTCCACCGCACAGCCCCTAGGAACCACCACCGGACGGAAACTTGTCCACTGCTTGGGCTTCTGCTTGCTCAACGACGGTTAGGTATCATCGGTATTTAAGCTGCGTATTGTGCGCTTTTCTTAATTTTTTTCTAGGGTGGTTGGGGAGATTTCACAACATATATGCTTATGCTAAATAAAAATTGATCTGTATATTAATTAGATCAATTAAGACGGATGTGACTGGGAAACTGTGAACAGTGCGTGCCAGGGGTCTGGTATGTTAAGAATATATAAACCCCGGTCTTAAAACTGAACATGAGATTGAACGCCATACTAGACGTAATGGTACTGAGAACAAGGACGATCTTCTTGCATGTAGTTTTGTTATTTTATTTATTAATTTTTTCAGCTGTCTCTCTGTGAGCTATTTTCCCTCAAGGAAGGAGTGCGTCCTTTACTCCGCCCTTCCTGGCGCGGATATGATCGAGGAGCGCGAAGGATGGAATCTGTATGTTCCCAAGTCAGAACAGGTAAGGATGGGGGGGGGGGGGGGATGGCGCTTAACGCCGTAAGGGCGTTGCCTTAAGCTGTGTAAACTTCGAAAGTCAGTAAAATAATTCACCCATACGAGCCATATTTCTTTGCCCGGTGAAAGTTCTTTTACTATTACAAGCCTTAGAATGAATGTGTTTGGGCTGTTTAACACTATAGTGTCCTGCAAAATGGAAAATCTATAACATTAATTACAAAGATTTATATATAACAGTAATGCAGATATTACAAAAAATCTGTGCCCTACCGATGTAACTTAAATGTTCACCATTTGTGGAATGGTCCATATAATGACATTTTGTTTTGTTCACTTTCAGCCGCCATGCAGCCAGGGTGAGTTGCAAAACATTGTCTTTATATTCAGTTCCATACTGGATTTACCCGCCATAATGAATTTTCCTCGAAAAAAAGCCATTTTCTCCTTCCCACGAATTATTGTTCAACTTTTCCTTGCACTTGTAGTTAATGTTTTATACCATTTTTAATTCAATGATTGGATCTTGATAACTAAGGAACTGTCGACCTTACCTTCTTATATTTATGTTTATGTATTAAGGTCTGATTTGGGAAAGATAAGTAATTTTGCAAAATTTGTAGACATAGATGGGTCGGTCCCAGTATTATATGAATTATTACTGATCATGAATGCTAAAAAATGTTTCCCCTTCAGAGTGACTGGTATTGAACTTATATACTAAATTATTTAAAAAACTTAAACTATTATTAGAGGTGAGCTTTATCAAAATTATCACGTTCTCATTAAGTTTACTCCCATGGAATATTGTTTACCTTTTAGCATAATTCAGTATATTATCACCTGTCCTAAATCATATCCTGGTAGACTTACTGAATCATTTCTTTTAATCAAATTTAATCTTTTAAACAAATCATTTCTTTCAGATGTATTAATGACTACTGCAAGTAAGAAGACCACAACAACCCCAGCACCAGTGGTGGCAATGGAAGAACCACTGGTGGCAATGGAAGAACCACTGGTGGCAATGGAAGAACCACTGGAAGCAGAAGAAGTGACGACCACAACAACCCCAGCACCAGTGGTTGCAATGGAAGAACCACTGGAGGCAGACGAAGTAACGACCACAACAACCCCAGCACCAGTGGTGGCAATGGAAGAACCACTGGTNTTCGCACCCACACACATTTACACACACGCACGCAATTCCGATTTTTTTTTTTTTTTTTTTTTTTTTTTGTGAAAGGCATGAACAACTGATTAGTAATGACGCACACCACCAGAGAGATAAAAAAACTTTCCAGGTGAAATGTGAATCTTGAATTCACCCCCTTTAATAAAAACACGTATTTGTTTGTTGATGCATTATATATTTTAGGTTTGTGTGTATTCCGTGCAAAAATACGTCTTTCTGTTATTGGGAGAATAAAACAGCCAGTCTTTTCTGAATTCGGAAAACACAGAGCGCCATCACTTATTTATGCACAAAGACGTTAAAACACAAAGCTGTCGTATTGACTGATATTACCGGCGACAAGGAGTATTTTTAGAGATGCTCACAGGTGCTTTTTCTCACCATAGTTCTTCGACAGGTTCAGATAAACCAAGTTTTGGAAAGTGGGGTTCTAGACCGCTGTCCCATACCCAACCCTTTCAATATTATACTGGTCAATCTGAAGAAGCAATAAGTGGCCATGGATTAAAATCTGCAGAATATGTATATTAGTTTTTCATTAGATGTTCATTTTTCTATTTCCCAGCTGACAAAAAGCATTTGATTGTCATAAAATAATACTGGCATAACAAAAAGACAGTGTGTGTATTTGTCATATGCATTATTTATGCACTCAGATATCTTCCTTGAGATTTGGTTTATTCTCTTGCTTTAAGATATTTGCCACTTGCCTTTGATCTTTGAAGCTCAGAACAAAAAAATCAATGGCCATGACGGTGACATTAAGGAAATTGTTTAAATAAAAAAGAAACCCGTCTCGTGCTAATGTTTTCCAAGGGCCACTGAGAAAATTGATCGCGGTAGCCTGTTTCATTACCCACTCTGATTTACCTATGAGCAGGGTGTATGTGGGTGGCCCCCGCATTCATTGGTGGCTCCAAGATTTTGCTATGGGCGGGGAAAGCAAGACAAAAAAATTAAAGATTGAAACTAAGGAAGTATATAGCAATAGACGAAAACCGTGTCCCTTTGTCCCTCTGCCAATTCTGTTGGCGTAATATTTAAAATCACACCTTGCGCGACATACCTCTATCTGTATATTGAAAAAGTACCAGTTTTTTAAAAAATTCATAACCCATACCCAAAGCATGTTTACAAGTAATACTTTGATCAACTGTGTTGGATAATAATTTGAAAAATGTTGAAGTTACAAGGAACATTTTGTTGTTATTTCTTTTATTATTATTATTTTTTTTTTTTTTTTTTTTTTTGTTCCAAAAAGAAGGCCTATATCGTGTGCCTTTCAACCGAACTGTGCCATCTGTCAATCAATATAGCCAAGAGGCAGGCCGCCATGTTACATCAGGTCAGTCATCGTACAGGTGCTTCACAGGGATGATCTGAGTCACAAAACAATCGAAGGGAAAATGATGTCTAAAGTTTGGTTTCTTCTGATTTTCGTCATACATATTTGGAACTTTGAAACCTCAGGTGCGTATACAAACATTGAAAGTAATGTTTTTAACAATTCCTTGTTTTTTATGTGGTCGTTAAGAAGGTGATGGTGAATTATTGGTGAGTTTTGTTCTGAGCGGCAAGATTATCAAGTTGATTTTAAATCTGTTGATTTTTCTATCAAGGTTGTCCTCCAATTAGGTTGCAGGTTGGTTTTTGAATCACACTGCATGTAAATGTATGTTGGATTTATGCATAAAAAAAGATGTTTTGAAAATGGACGGTTTGTAAAACGAAAATAGAGTAAAAAATGTAATATTTAACATTTGCATTTTTATGAAAAAGATTTTTGATTGAACTACACTTTCAACGAACGGTTATATCAACAACATTATCTTTTGCTTACAATTTTCAAATAATCAATTTGGAGGCGAGACTATATATAGATTTAATTAAAGAAAATTGAAGACAGAAAATGTGCGCCTTGTTTAGAGCCAGATTTGCTCTTTATTTAAATTTTGCACTCATATATTTAATTTGCAAACTTCAACCAATCGTTTGCATTATTATTATTATTATTATTATTATTATTATTATTATTATTATTATTATTATTAAAGCCCATCTTTTATTTATTATTTGTATTCAATAAGAAATAAAAATTGACGCATAGGTTCATACGTAGCATACAGCGTGCTATAAAAGTACATTGTTCATATCACCATCTCTCTGTTTAATTCCAGATTCCGCCCTGATAAAACGATGTCCGTCCCACAGCACGGGGTTATTCCAGATGACACCAAACACGTGGTCTACCGCACAGCCCCTAGGAACCACCACCGGACGGAAACTTGTCCACTGTTTGGGATTCTGCTTGCTCAACGACGGGTAGGTATCATCGGTATTTAAGCTGCGTATTGTGCGCTTTTCTTAATTTTTTTTCTAGGGTGGTTGGGGAGATCTCATAACATATATGCTTATGCTAAATAAAAATGAATCTGTATATTAATTAGATCAATTTAGACGGATGTGACTGGGAAACTGTGAACAGTGCGTGCCAGGAGTCTGGTATGTTAAGAATATATAAATCCCGGTCTTAAAACTGAACACGAGATTGAACGCCATACAAGACGTAATAGTACTGAGAACAAGGACGATCTTCTTGCATGTAATTTTGTTATTTTATTTATTTATTTATTATTTTTTTTCAGCTGTCTCTCTGTGAGCTATTTTCCCTCAAGGAAGGAGTGCGTCCTTTACTCCGTCCTTCCTGGCGCGGATATGATCGAGGAGCGCCAAGGATGGAATCTGTATGTTCCCAAGTCTGAACAGGTAAGGATGGGGAGGGGGGGGGGATGGCGCTTAACGCCGTAAGGGCGTTGCCTTAAGCTGTGTAAACTTCGAAAGTCAGTAAAATAATTCACCCATACGAGCCATATTTCTTTGCCCGGTGAAAGTTCTTTTAATATTACAAGCCTTAGAATGAATGTGTTTGGGCTGTTTAACACTATAGTGCCCTGCAAAATGGAAAATCTATAACATTAATTACAAAGATATATATATATATAACAGTAATGCAGATATTACAAAAAATCTGTGCCCTACCGATGTAACTTAAATGTTCACCATTTGTGGAATGGTCCATATAATAACATTTTGTTTTGTTCACTTTCAGCCGCCATGCAGCCAGGGTGAGTTGCAAAACATTGTCTTTATGTTCAGTTCCATACTGGATTTATCCGCCAAAATGAATTTTCCTCGAAAAAGCCATTTTCTCCTTCCCACGAATTATTGTTCAACTTTTCCTTGCACTTGTAGTAAATGTTTTATACCATTTTTAATTCAATGATTGGATATTGATAACTAAGGAACTGTCGATCTTACCTTCTTATATGTATGTTTATGTATTAAGGTCTGATTTGGGAAAGATAAATAATTTTGCAAAATTTGTAGACATAGATAGAAACATCGTGCTAGTTGGGTCGGTCCCAGTATTATATGAATTATTACTGATCATGAATGCTAAAAAAATGTTTCCCCTTCAGAGTGACTGGTATTGAACTTATCAACTAAATTATTTAAAAAACTTAAACTATTATTAGAGGTGAGCTTTATCAAAATTATCACGTACTCATTAAGTTTACTCCCATGGAATATTGTTTACCTTTTAGCATAATTCAGTATATTATCACCTGTCCTAAATCATATCCTGGTGGACTTACTGAATCATTTCTTTTAATCAAATTTCTTTTAAACAAATCATTTCTTTCAGATGTATTAATGACTACTGCAAGTAAGAAGACCACAACAACCCCAGCACCAGTGGTGGCAATGGAAGAACCACTGGTGGCAATGGAAGAACCACTGGAAGCAGAAGAAGTGACAACCACAACAACCCCAGCACCAGTGGTGGCAATGGAAGAACCACTGGTGGCAATGGAAGCACCACTGGAAGCAGAAGAAGTGACGACCACAACAACCCCAGCACCAGTGGTTGCAATGGAAGAACCACTGGTGGCAATGGAAGAACCACTGGAGGCAGAAGAAGTAACGACCACAACAACCCCAGCACCAGTGGTGGCAATGGAAGAACCACTGGTGGCAATGGAAGAACCACTGGAAGCAGAAGAAGTGACAACCACAACAACCCCAGCACCAGTGGTGGCAATGGAAGAACCACTGGTGGCAATGGAAGAACCACTGGAGGCAGAAGAAGTGACGACCACAACAACCCCAGCACCAGTGGTGGCAATGGAAGAACCACTGGTGGCAATGGAAGAACCACTGGAGGCAGAAGAAGTGACGACCACAACAACCCCAGCACCAGTGGTGGCAATGGAAGAACCACTGGTGGCAATGGAAGAACCACTGGAGGCAGAAGAAGTGACGACCACAACAACCCCAGCACCAGTGGTGGCAATGGAAGAACCACTGGTGGCAATGGAAGAACCACTGGAGGCAGAAGAAGTGACGACCACAACAACCCCAGCACCAGTGGTGGCAATGGAAGAACCACTGGTGGCAATGGAAGAACCACTGGAGGCAGAAGAAGTGACGACCACAACAACCCCAGCACCAGTGGTGGCAATGGAAGAACCACTGGTGGCAATGGAAGAACCACTGGAGGCAGAAGAAGTGACGACCACAACAACCCCAGCACCAGTGGTGGCAATGGAAGAACCACTGGTGGCAATGGAAGAACCACTGGAGGCAGAAGAAGTGACGACCACAACAACCCAGGCACCAGTGGTTGCAATGGAAGAACCACTGGTGGCAATGGAAGAACCACTGGAGGCAGAAGAAGTGACGACCACAACAACCCCAGCACCAGTGGTGGCAATGGAAGAACCACTGGTGGCAATGGAAGAACCACTGGAGGCAGAAGAAGTGACGACCACAACAACCCAGGCACCAGTGGTTGCAATGGAAGAACCACTGGTGGCAATGGAAGAACCACTGGAGGCAGAAGAAGTGACAACCACAACAACCCCAGCACCAGTGTTGGCAATGGGAGAACCACTGGTGGCAATGGAAGAACCACTGGAGGCTGAAGAAGTGACAACCACAACATCCCCAGCACCAGTGGTGGCAATGGAAGAACCACTGGAGGCAGAAGAAGTGACGACCACAACAACCCCAGCACCAGTGGTGGCAATGGAAGAACCACTTGTGGCAATGGAAGAACCAGTGGTGGCAATGGAAGAACCACTGGTGGCAGAAGAAGTGACGACCACCACAACCACAACCACAACCACAGCACGGAGAAAAGGCTGAATGACTTTGAACAGACATGAATGGAAATACAAGCAATATGGTATACATGCACTATCACAAGTGGAATTCTCTTTTGATGTGGTCTGGAAGGTGTTTTTCATCACAAGTAAAAAAATTAAGGCAACAAAGCTGTTAAGTGTACATCTGCATAGCTGAAAAATTATGCTCCTGCACAATATAATGATTTGTCAATTTTGATACAATATTTCATCACATTTAAGAGCCTTATTACCACTGTTTTTTATTTTGTACAATATATAGCATGGGCATTTAGAAAAAGTAAATAAAACTGGGCTTCAGTCCCATGGAATTTTTGAAGTTACACACAAAGATGTGAAAAATAAAAATTTCACAAAAAAAGTGCATAATTTCAGATAAAATAACCCAATCAAGCTGTTTTTCCAATCAGAGCTGTATTTTTGTACTAAGAATCATTCTGTGTCTGTACATAAAAAACACAACATAACCATTTCAGTATAATCAACTTAAAACAGACTTATAACTTCAAAAATAAAACTTAGTTTTATTCATTTTCATTCCAATTTACCAGACATTTACCATGAACTGGTTACAATTCATGACGTATGTTGAATTTGGCTGCCAGGCATATCCTCAGTTTCACTGTCTACATTTATCCAGTCTTCTGTTGGTGTTCTGGTATTAGAAAAAGTACTTCAAAAAATGTACTCAAAGATAGCATTATTTTACAGTCAGTGCCAAAAATGTTCAGCCTTCTGACCCTGCCAGCTACCAGGGCCTAAGGATCCAAAATGGAGTTTGTGGCCAGATACTGGACATATTAACAAAATCTCTATGGTTGGATTCCAATCCTACTGGCATCTTGTTAGGGGCCAGTGTTTATACCACAGATTGTTGATATTATATCTATGTAAAAGCTACAATGCAGAAACTCACTGTATCACTATAATTATTAGTATAAATTTGGCAATTGGTTTTGAGAATGTTTTGCCATATCAGCACATATTCATCATAATAATTGTAATTTGTTTATTTTCTTCAACCATCTCCACTTTTAATCTCATTTCTGCTGTCACCATGAATGATCTTATGTGAATTGGTTGTTTATATAATATCTTCTATTACTGTCAGTTCACTGCCATTGTATCCTGACAAAAATCCACATCATAGTATGCTATTGTTATTATTGTGCCTTTCGTAACTGCTACCGTTATTGTCACTGCTATGCAACCATGGGTTCCTGTGGGTTGTACTGTCTTTTACAGACATATATCCTGTTATTAGACACAGTTATTGCATAGAAGAAGGAATCCCAGTTTACTGAAAGAAAAATTATGATGTGAAAAAAATCTTCATCAAATGCTTATTTTGCTCTATTAATAAAAAATTAAATAAAATCATAGCTATTGGTCTCTGACAGATTTTTCTTTCAAATGTAAAAAATGAGATGTATTTAATGTGTGGAATTGAGTACTAGTACTTTAGCCATTTCAAACAGTGTGTATAGGTATGTGTGTGCATGTGTGTGTGTGTGTGTGTGCATGTGTGTGTGTGCATGTGTGTGTGTGTGTGTGTGTGTGTGCGTGTGCGCGTGTACATGTGTAACACAGATCACCCAGAATAAAGCATTCCTTAACAACACATGAAAAGGAAGATTCATTGATTTATTCAAGGGTCACTGTGAAAAATCCGACAGAGTAATTTTGCAAGTGAAAATTTCACTAAAGGTTATCAACAAATGCATCATTTAAAAAGATGTTTTGGGTTTTGAAAATTAAAACGTGGCAAGTTCATTTTACAACTACATTGGACTTACTTGTTAATTTTTTAAATCCATCTCTTTTGTCTCCCATCACTGGAATCCTGTAAGCTTTCTGTACAAGATTATAGACCAATGCTGCTGTCTTTTCATCATTCTCTAATTCACCACCAGACTGAAAAAAATAAGTTCAAAATATCTACTTAATATTGAACAAATATCAGTCTTTTTTTTATAACTTCTGCATTGGATGTGTGATACATTCTTGCTATAGCAAGAGATAAAAATTATATTAAATTGAAAATAAAATAAAAAGGACAAATTCGAAAATAAAGCAGTACATAAGCATGTGAAGTATCTTACATTAAGTAGAAGATATTCGTATGTGTACCTGATAATTAACAAAGACATAATTATTTATAATTAATACATATTTAAAAAATACTTACACTAACTACTGCTTTGTCCTCACTTATAACTAGATATCCTAGAGAGTCGGGAATTCGCTCTAGGTTCTGCATGGCTGAAAGTACAAAGGTAATTAATTAAGAAATGAAATCAGTGTATCCACGGCATGTTCCATACATTAATTTTCATTAGAATAGCCATCATTAAATAGTGGGTGGGGG